TGTGTTTGCCACAGGCTAGGAGTGCACTTAATTACCACAGTTCAGCTGACGTCTGGGAGCTTATTAAGCCAGGGTAACTCGTTGCTGTATCTGGTCCCTCTGGTTAGCTAAAGCTTTCATTAAAACAGCCAACATTTTTGCCAAGGTGAGGCCTCAGGAAAAAGAAAAAAAAACAGATTTAAATCCTGCAGAAGTGAACTTGCACAGGAAAAGAGTGAGAAGGAAAACAGCAGCAGAGAGAGGCTCAGGAGAAGGCATGAGTCAGAAACAAGCAGGAAAGCAACAGACCTGTGGTTCCACTGTTGGCACCCAAATCTCAATTCTCCAGTACCCACAAGCTTGTGGAGAAATTGCTGAAGTTAAAATTTGGTCCAAAGAGTAAAACTGAAACTCGGAACTGAATTTCCCAGAGTTAAGATGAGGCTCAGATTCAGCAGCTTGGTTTGGGCTCAGCATGCGATAGCACAGCGGAGAGAACAGCAGGTGCTTCAGCCAACATTTTGGATGATCTCAACCACCTTCTAAAGCTCCAAGGAAATTGTCACAGTGATGGATCAAAGCAGGGAGCCAAGGGATAGCTCTCAACCCAAACTCAGCTTGCAACACAGCTTTCTTCCTTCCTTGAAAACGCTAACATGCCATTAGTCGGCATACGCTCGTGGGTAGACTACACCACCGTGAGAGAATTCACTGTGGCACTGTGGTAGACTAACACTGGACCCGAAGAAGTCTATGAAGTCAGTGCCATCCCCAGGTCTCAATGCAGCTCAGTCACCTCCTGTGCGCAGCACAGTGCCAGGGATGTGGCCAGCGTGCCAGAGCCAGCTGGAGCCCCAGTAATCACCAGCCGTGAGGAGCGCAGAGCATCCGTAAGCGGGCAGGCCAGGTGCTGGGCTTGCCAACACCAGCGCTGAGCCAAGCTGCCTCCCGCAGAGGTGACCGTGTGCTGGCAGTCACGCTTGCCAGTATGCCTGGAGAGCTGAGCAGGTCAGACACTGCATCACACGAAGATTAAGACCTAAGCTAGTGGCACGTTCATCACTGCTTCCCTCTCTTTCTTTTCAACAATCTATTTCCTCATTCTCTACCTCTGCGGCACAGTATTTGTTGTTCTTTTATTGCCCCTGCCCAAACACAGTATCCTCCCATATGTTCCTTATTCATCCTCTCACCACAGCTCTTCATCAAGCTATGAACCAAGGGAACATGTCAGGGCTTGTGCAAACCATGCTCTTCCAAGAAAGCCTTCTAATACAGGGGTCAAAAGGACTTCCTTCCCCTCAGACACACATTATGAAGAACACAGCAAACCTCATCATCCAGAGCAACAGAAATCTTACTGCATAGTTATCGTCTCACATGGACTCAGCCACCAAACACTTTGCTGGAGATAACACTGGCTACTGACCACATCGAAGCCAGGCATATCTGAATCGCCCCACTGGGCTGTAAAGGTTTGTCCCTCAGCCTGAAAGATAAAGAGTTGGGAGATTCCTCCCATGCAGCAAATGCAGAGCTCAACTCTAAACAGATTGTCCATAATTCAAATTACCTTTCTAGCACTCTCCACCAGTGGCAGGGCAGTGGGCAAAACAAGCATCTCCAGTTTCACAAACTAATTCAGTGTTTTTAAAGAGAAATTCCAGACCGTGAAAGAAAATAAATTTTCAGTAGAACTGCTAAGTATACTCTATAAGCAAAAGACTAAGAGGTCTTACAACTCTATAGATTTTTTTTTTTTTTAATTCAGAATGAAGACTGGAAAAGGATGGAAAGAAAACCCTGATGGATTTGGCTCCTACAGTCAAAGAATACAATTTCGTGAGTCAAGCATTCTAGTAACTCTGCTCTTCTTTCACACAAAATGATGAGGGACTGTTACCAGCTGTGTGACAGTGTATCTTCAGATTTTATTATTTTGAATTTGATTTTTTTAAATGGATTTTATAAGAACCAATGTTATTGTTGCCAGCCTTAAAGGTGCCAAGGACAGACTGCTGAATGGGGGCAGAATTTTCTTTTTCAAGCACTAGCTAGAGTTCAGCCTCTATTTTCCCCGCCTTCCTCCATCTTTTCTTCTGTACAGACTTTTGTTTCGGAATAGATATGAACAGGCGCAATTTGGGAATTCACTTCCTACAAGTTAATTTCATGGCACTTAGCAGAAAAAGTGAAGTAACTTAAATGCAAGGTTATTATTGTTAGCAAGCACTTGTTGTCCTGGTGATTTTTTCTCCATAGCCTGAAACTACTTCCCAGCCTGAAAGTGGAGGGGGATAAGCAAAGTTTCATTCCAATTTTGCATTTGAACATGTATTTTTCTTAACTTAATTAGGACCTTTTTATTATCACTTCTCAGCCTCGACATATCGTATAAGGACTTATCCAAAGCATGAGAAAAATTACCCTCTAATATCAGTTGCCCACCTTGTACTTTTTCAAAGGATTGAGCTTGAATATTGACTAGTGGATGAGGCTACAATATGCCACATCCCACACACATTTCATGTGCCCAGTCTACATGAAAGGTCATCTGATCCCACCCTAAGATGCTGCTAAGGTGTCTTCCCACTCTCAATTGCTCTGAAGCACAGCCCAGGACTGAGAGTTTTTGTGGAGGCAACTCACACATATACACAGAGACTTCAAGAGACTCTGACTCCTGCTGTGCTGGCAGCAAAACCGTATCTTGGCTGTTTCCAGAAAATAGCAAGCAGCACACAAGTTGGAACAGAGCCACTCCTTGGCACACAGGTATCCTGCTTGGGCCCCTCATGTTCCCTCTGCTACACATATTCCTGAAAGCCTTCTAGGTTAATGTTAGTCTCTGCACTTTTTCTTCTACTGACACCCTATAACTTCAGCTCTCCAACTGCTCTGTTCAGCCCCTGGTTATCCCAGAGCCTGAAAACCTGGACTGTTCTGAGGGTGTCTAAGCATTTTGGTTTTAAAGCTCATGTTCAAAAGGATTGATGGCTAAAAGGCTGAGTCAGCTTTATCACTGCTAAAATAATATTTTAATCTGAGAACTTTCTTGAAATGTAACTTGAGATAGCAGCACAAATATATACCAATGAAAGTAGCAATTAATTTGTGTATTAAGAATAAAGATCTCCACTTCTCTGCTTCAGCATTTCATATACCTTCTGTGACTTTAACCTCGGTTAGTTAAGGAAATCACAGTTCTAAGTGGTTTCATCTCCTTCAGACTGACTGCTAGCATCCTCCTTCTCGAGGAAAGGGAGCAAACCCCAGTCTTGTTCATCTCTTTTTATGAGTATTTGTTTCCCACTCATATCACCTGGTTTCTGTTTGAACCTGCCTTTCCCTTATCCCTCTGTCTCACTAACTACATACTAATGCAGACTTTAATTTGTACACTCCAGACTTACGAATGAAATATTTGTTACACCTTCATGAAGACACAGAGAATCTTCCATATCACATAGCAAAAAAAATGAAACGCACAGTCCTTGCAGTAGATGCACAACAGCTTTCTCTCTGCAAGCATCATATAAAGATGAAAACAAGGAACAGGCCTTTAAATTACTCTTCCCAGAAAGCTTACCTAGTTTTACGGGGGATCTTGCCATCTGGCCAGAGTCTGCGTGGATATATTTGCTCCAGCCTTAAACTCTGTGGGGAGCTCAGGTTAACCAACTGTTTAAGTATTTACCTAACATATAGCAGGGAGGTTGCATCCCAGACAAAATTTGAGCAAAGACAGTTATACTAATGCAAAAACTCCCACTACTCCCCAGCCAACCCCCAAAAAGGGGGGGGGGGCAAAAAAATTAACATAACACAAATATGTATGCTCACTAGGGCTGCTCTCACAGTACTGTGGATATATGCCAGCATGAGGGCAGGAAAGACAGAGGGTCTTTCATGTTTGGAAGTGGCAGAAAATAAACATAGACTCTAACTCAGGAATGGTTGTTTGCTCTCCTGCAAGTCGGTCACTAAAGCGCTGACGGATTTCAAAGCTACCCAGCTCTTAATAGTCCCTGTATCATTACTACCTAGTAGGCAAGTATTCATGGGTTACAATGGAAAGCTGCTGATTGCTGTTTGTGACCAGCAGCCTGCCACCTCTTTCACAGCGTGGCTCCCCCTTCTTTATCCAGAAAGAAGGGAAAGGAAACTGAAACAGCTTTCAGTTCCTGTCAGCTGCACTTTGAAAGACGGGGAGAAAAGGCAAGCTAAGCAAACTTGGCATATAATAATAACAGCATTACATGCACTGTTCCTAACAGCTCAAAAAAAGCACATTTGGAGAAAAAGACTGTAAACAATTTGCTTCGGTCAGCTAAGCCTATATGTATTAAGCACATGTGCATAAAATACATGTGCAGTGCTGTCACTTTCCATCCTGTATTATATCTGCAAGTTAGAGTTTATACCAGCTATCTAAGGATAGTCACTGCAAAATCAGAGATGGACTGAGCATAGATCTCAATAAAGCCTAAAATAAAATTGAGGGCTGAAGCTTTGGCTTTACTTTTGTCAGCATGAAGTTGTTGGAAGCTGCTCTGTGTCCTGGACTGCATTCAGATCAGTGCTGGAACACAGCCCCTGTCTATCTCTTAAGCCAAAGGAAGTATTTTTAGACTTTCCAGGATGAAATATTAGGAGACAGAAAACAGGGAGCTAGAAGCATGCTCTAAATTTCACTTTGAAAAAAGATGCCAAGAAACTGACACTATGTATGGCGGTACCAAACGTACAGAACCAGTCGCTATAGCTTGAGGGGTATGCCACGCCATCACGAAGCCTGCCAGCACAACTCAGGTCCCATGGAGGAAGCGTATTCATAGGGAGGCTTCAGGCTGACCGTAAGTGGCTCCAAGGGCACAAGGACAAGCTCCATGTGTGCCCAGTCCCATTCACAGGCTCGCTATAAAGTATTTCTGCCTTCAAAGGTGCACACCTCGAGTAAGGTGGGAGAACCGGCACCCGCTGCATGCAACACCACCTCAGCCAGGCTCCTTGCTACTTACTGCTGTTCTTCTTGTTGTTGGCAGGCTGCTGCTTGGCCGCTTTGCTCGTCTTCGGGTGCTGTCAGCTTCTGAGGGTTTTCAGCCTTCTCTCTTTTATTGTTGCCATCCCAGCGGTAACCGTGAGAGGAAAACGGGGTATTGGAGGCAGGAGCCATCCTGTACCTGCTGCCTTCCTTCCTTCCTCCAACCCCAGACATTGCTTCAGGAGTACCTCGCCTTGTCAGAAACGAGTATTGCAGCTAAGGCTAGGGAAAGGCTCATAACTTTCAGTTTTACAAATTGGTTTCATTTCCCTGTAAGACCCACCCCTGGCTGGACTCTGAGCTGTAAGACATGCAAATCCACGCTCAGGTTTCTGAGTCGTCCTCCAGCTGAAGCTCAGTTTGCTCATCTCAACCACAGCACCCAGGCGGACTGGAGTCACGGAGTGACAGCACATCTGATCTTTACTAATAAAACAGTCAACAACACTGTGCAGCCCTGGAACAGACTGCTTCAGCATAAGCACGGTGAGGCCCGTCTGAAAGTCAAATTTCTGACAATTTTTTACCCCAACACTTAAAATTTGCCTATGAGAGAGGGGAATAACTCTAGGGGGTTTCTATTTTGCAAGAGTGTAAGCAGAAAGATGAAAGTGAAAGTAAAAACCAACCCTCAGATAAATAATAAGGCCATGTTCCTGCACAACTCCAATTCAGCCTTTCAATCCTCTTCAATCAGAAAATTTTTTTACTTTAACTTTCCTAATTCTACCTGATGAATAGAGGACAAATACATGATCCTCTTAAGTGAAAATGCAAATCCCTTCAGTGAACACATCTGACCACACGTACCACATCCATTAGATGAGATACTGTGGCATCTGCAGGGCTAGGGAAAACTAGCAACCTTCTTAATATCAATTAATAAAGATGTTTGGCAGCTCTTAACCCAATAAAAAAAGAACTAGCAATGCTACTCAAGCTTTATGCAGCGGAGCTAGGGAAATTCAGCCCCACACATACAGATCCTGTCATTTTTTATCCTCAGCTGCTCAAGCTGCACTAAAACCACATCGCTGAAGTGATGCTTTTGTGGCCAGGTTTCCTGACTGTCCAAACTGTCTAGGTCTTACAGCACACCCCACACACGCTGGGAAACTATCAAAATAAAATGCCACACGGGATGGGGAGTCACAGGCTGCCTGGTGTTCGCGATGCTCCTTGGGGTGCTGTATGGGACCCCGTCACGAGCAGCACACCTCCCAGGGCTGCCACATCCAGCAGCACCTATCTCCTAGAGCTGCCCGATGAACGCAGCATCGATGGTCTCTTCCTCCTGCCATGCCTCCCAACATGCTCGGCAGCTGGGACGATCTTCATTTGTACACGAATCATTCTGCAGAGACTCTGGAGTGCAATGGCTGTGTGTTGCAAAGGGATGAGCTGGTGCATGGTCCCTTGCACCCGTCCCAGAAGTGTCTTGCTTCTGGGCCATAATGGATCTAGCCTGGTAGACAAAGACACAGAAACACTGTGGGAGAGTCCAGTATGGTCGCTTCTTGGAGACAGATAGCAAAAGCGACCCACAGGCCCTCTCCCTTCCTTCTGCCAAGACATGATCTCTCTAATCCCAATCTCTCTTGAGATAACAACGTGGCATGCATTGAGACATATGCAGAAGCCGTCCCAGGCTGGAAGCAGTTTGTCTTTTTGGTTTCTCAGTAGAAGAATTGGTCTCTGGGACATTTTGCAGGGAGCTGGGTCAGCTGGAGAGGGATGGATGCTAATTGTGTTTTAGCTGCCTGGGTCATTAACCATAGTGCTTACTCATAAAGCCCCTGTCTTGGTTTGGAAACTGTCCAGGAGGCCAGAGTAGGCTACATCGCTCTTTGCCTCATGTTGTTTAAAGCCATACGCTGTGGGCAAAGGAATCTGTCTAGTCTGTAAGACATTGCTGGGTCATAGATCCAAGGAAACTCTTGATGTTGCCAACAGCCAACATAGGCAGTTTCTTGTTTGCGAGTGTTCCAGGTTGATCTGGGCAAGAGTGTCTCATCTGCCAGATATCGTCAGGAACTGCTAAAAGAGCAAAGTGCCTCACAGCCTCGGAATGGAATGGAATGGAATGGAATGGAATGGAATGGAATAGAATAGAATAGAATAGAATAGAATAGAATAGAATAGAATAGAATAGAATAGAATATTTCAATTGGAAGGGACCTACAATGACCATCTAGTCCAACTGCCTGACCACTTCAGGGCTGACCAACTTCAAACACGTTGTTAAGGGCAATGTCCAAATGTCTTTTAAACACGGACAGGCCTGGGGCATTGACCACCTCTCTACGAAGCTTGTTCCAGTGCCTGTCCAACCTCTTGGTAAAGAAATGCTTCCCAGTGACCAGTCTAAACCTCCCCTGGCATAGCTTTGAGCCATTCCCACGCATCCTATCACTGGATCCCAGCGAGAAGAGATCGGCACCTCCCTCTCCATGTTCCCTCCTCAGGAAGCTGCAGAGAGCTATGAGGTCGCCCCTCAGCCTCCTTTACTCCAAACTAGAAAAGCCCAAAGTCCTCAGCTACTCCTCACAGGACATGCATTTCAGCCCTTTCACCAGCTTTGTTGCCTTCCTCTGGATGCATTAAAGGACCTTCACATACTTCTTAAACTGTGGGGCCCAGAACTGCACACAGTACTCCAGGTGAGGCCACACCAAAGCTGAATACAGCGGGACAATCACCAATTTTGACCGGCCAGTTACGCTGTGTTTGATGCACCCCAGGACACGGTTTGCCCTCTGGGCTGCCAGGGCACTTAGATGTGCAGGTTTATTCTTTACCTCTGGTCTCTGCAGGGAACACAAACATTTTGTCCTGGACAGTGATTGGGCTTTTACCAGAAATCACATGCATGCCATTTGACAATCTGAGTCATCCCCTAAGCTGTCTAAGAAGGTGTTCTCAGGTAGGCCAGAATGCTTGAGGCTTGCTGTCCTGCTTCACTTGAGCTGCTGGGCACAGCTAAAGCCAAGCTTTGTGGAAAATCTCCTAACCCAGGTACCCCTTCCTCTTCACAAACATGTATATAAATACAGTGCAAGGTGTTGGCAAATGGAAGTAAGCATCAAGCTTCATCCCTTATACAGGACTGCAGGGTAGATATGAGGTGCAGAGAGAACAGAGGCAGCGCAAATGATAGGAAAGTCATGTCTGAGGTCTGTAAAGATTTGTGGGTTAACAGCTGTGCCTACAGGCACCCTATTTGGTAAAAAAACAACTTCAACATCTGGATTCTTCTTAACCCACGTAGATTGATGTCTTAATAATGTAAATCTAATTACAAAAATTGATTATAATTAATGTGGCCATTGATGCTGCATCTTCAATCCCACATTGTTATGTAAAATTCAGATCTAATATCTGCTTCCTGTTGAAAATTAGAAAGTTTTCGCTGCAAACAGTAACTGTAGAATCTATGTAGTTTACATCTATATTGCTCAAAAAAAGAGGGATGTAAAATGAACCTAAACCCTAGTTCAACCACATCGCTTCAATACTAGTTTATTTCTTAGCTGTGTTCTGGATAATCCAAACTAACTCGCTCCAGGACAAAATCCTGGACAGGCTCTGATGATGGTCATGCCAGACATAACCTCCAGAAAGTCAGTATGGATATGACTGCACGAGGTTTAGTTTCTTCCACCCTAAACACCCCTCCAACACTGTCCCAGTAATCTCCACATCTCAAACACAACCAATGTACCTCTGTGTCGTACTGCACAGTATGTCATTCATCAGCCCTTCCATTTCATGCTACTAAAGTGCAACTTTTGAGGGCTGCAACACATCCCTCATATTACTTCAGACACGTCGAGCTGAAATATTCCCCAGAATAATAATTAAGATTTAGGGTGACAGTAATACCACCTGGGGATCTCAGGACACTTGAAGCTTAAGTGCTATGTATGAAGGACATGCTATTGCCTCCTTAGGCTCCTCCTAGCTTAGTGGAGGCCAGTCTTAGGCGGCATACACATGAGCAAGTCTGTGTTAGCTGGATTTAGGACAAAGTATCAATCTCCAGACCCGTAGTATTCAGCGTTGTAGATGCTAAAGAGTCTGTGCTTCCTAAGTGTCAGCATGCCAAGGTATTCAGCCTCCTGAAACATGCAAACCCCCACATCTCTCAGTCCTTCCCAAGTCCTCCATAAGAATTTTAACTCAATACCTCTATTTTTCTAGACCCAGCTAAGACTGGCTGCCTATTCTATCTGACAATTTATGTTTATAATTGTCTTACACCCCTAACTGGGTCAGATGCTGTGGTGCATTGGCCGTTGCTAGCAGGCAAGCACTCACACAGCTGGTGGCTCCCTCCCTCCCCACCAGTGGGACAGGGAAGAAAAGAGGAAAAGGAGGGAGAAAATTCAGCTATCAAAATAAGCTTTTTTGCCTGTAAAGCTCCATTGCCTCTAGCTATTAACAACATCTTTTTTTTTTTAATTTTGTGGGAGGGAAGTCCTCGACAGAAAATGATATTTCTTTTGCTTTGAGAAAACACTTCAGTGGACATGCAAAATATTAAGAATCGTCATATTCCATCCCTCACCTGTGTTTTTCATGAAATTACAATAATAAAACAAAATAACTTCTGTGGAGAAACATTCTATACTGAAACTTCATTTTCAACTCAGGAGTACCATGAAATATACAAAAAATGAGAGATAACAGGGATCCTTTCTCAATATAAAGGATACTCAGAATCCAGGTCAGCCACTTCATCCTTTCTTTGGGAATGTCAGATGGGATAAAACTGTCTTATATGAAATAAATAGCACTGAAATAAAAGAGAACTATTTATAATAATGTATTGTCCCCTACTTTTCCTTCCTTGAAAACACCTGTTCATTCTTCATTATTTCACTGTTGGTTTATGGATTTTAAGGCTTTGCATTTTTAAGTTTTTTCCACAACCATGGACACTTTTCATTAACAGCTAAGATTTTCATTTAATCAGAGGAGACTGGAAGGCTAAAGTCAGAAGAAAAGCATCAAACTGCAGGAGACTTTTGAGACTGAAAAGACAGCCAGGACAGGCTAGCTTTCCTATAGCCAGGAGCCAGCAAACGGTATCAGAAGGCCTTGACTGCTGCAGAACTGCCTTTTCCTTTGCCGTCAGCTAAAATACTTAGTCCTACAGCTGAGTATGATGCTCA